CCAGCTCATCCACCACTTCCTTAGGGAACTCCTCCTGCCTTCCGTGTCCAGGCCAGGCCCTCCTGTGAAATGTTCTCACAGCACCGTGTAGTTCCCTTTTATAGCTCTCATCTCTGGTGTAAATTTACATTTAGTTGAATACTTCTTTCAGTATTTTTTCTCTCGTTCCTAGACTGCAAGCTTTGTGAGATCGAGGATTATGTCCACTTTTGTTCACCATTGTCTCCTTAGCACCTAGAGTTGTGCATAATACATTGTAAGCATTTAATACACATTTGTCGCAATGGAAAAGAATAAATCAAAACTTGCTTCATTCTCTCATTCTCTAATTTATTGTCATCTTCCAAACTCTAAGAAGAGCTCAATTTCATCCTCCCCTCATTTCATCCCTGGGAAGGGGACAGAGGACAATGTGGGTTAAGCCTGGACCAGGAGGCCTCTGGCCATAGTCCTAAGGGGCAGAATTTTTGTGAGTCCACATGGGACGGTGTCAAGTAGACACCACGTCTGCAGTACCATGCACCAGTTACCAATCCCAGAGGAGGACTTCAAACACTTCTGCCTTTCGCATTTTGGTATCAGAGTCACCAAGAAAAGCACAATGCAGTCAAGCACTGGGTGGAACAATGCTTTACTTACATAGAGAAGAGACAGAGCAGGATCAGCCTCCATGGTGGGTGTCAGTCCCCCATGGTCAGTGAGTCTCTCCTGGCTGCTGACACAAGGCAATTGGCATATGTACCACACCCCTCTCAGGCTGCAGTGGAAAGAACCCTGTCCCCTCTCCTCAGAGGACAGATATAACAGTGCAGTTGCCCACGTGCCATATGATGCACATGCTTTAAGCAGAGACGAGTCCTCACTGAGCCTGAAACAAGGGAAGATATTCTGACACATGGTGATAAGACAAGGCACAGTGGGTGTGGGCTCTTTAACTCTCAGTAAGGAAGTGTTCCAGACCCAAGGCCCATTCTTATGTGGCTGAGTTTGCTTGCATGAGACTGCCTTTTCCAACACAAGCTCTTCTGGATTTTCTTTTTTTTTGGTTTTCTCCTCATATTCTCTCTGTGGAATTTCTCTTAGATTCTTAGGTTTTCCCCTTGCTTCTTCCTGTTGTTTTATGTACCGGTGCTGGATGGAATGCAGGGTAAGGAAGCCTATGCAGAAGGAGACATCCTGTCTCCCATGTGGTCCTGCCTGTTCACTAGAAATGGGCTCTACACTGAGATTTGGGGGCCAAAGCTTCATCAGTAAAACACAGAGATTTTATCCAGGACCCTTTCTGCATGCCTACTTTGTTAACCTATCGCATCCATAGAACATTCAGGATCTCAGTCTCCTCCATCTTTCCACCGTAGAGACAAGACTCTCATTTACCTCAGGTAAGAAGTTATCCAAGTTGGAAAGCTGGAGGTCCTGTTCAATTCTTGTTTACCACACATCATTCAGTTGTTGATTCTATTAAGGCCTCCTGAATCTCACTTCTGTCACTCACAACTAAGCAACCTCCTTTACTTAATTAGTAGCGCCCAAATCCAGCCTTGGTGGTCTAGTGGTTAAGAATCAGTGCTCTCACAGCTGCAGCCTCGGGTTTGTTTTCTGCTGGTATTTGAAATACCAGTGGCATAGCTTTCAGCATCACAGCAACACTCAGCTACCACAGTATGACACCCAACAGATGGGTGGTTTCTGAGGCCCACTGCAGGGGACAAGTTGGAAAGCAGTATGCAGGCCATCAGAGCAACATGTAAGATTTCATGTTATATGCCTTTCTTGGTGCTTTACTATGTGCTCTTAATGTTCTTATATATTAGCTCATTTTATCTACATAACAACCCTACTATTGTCTTCATTTGATAGGTGAAGAAATTGAGGAACAGAGAGGTTCAGCAAGTAAAGTGATACAGCTAGCAAGTGGCAGTTAGGCTTGGAACTATGATATTCTTATTTCTGAGCCAGACTTTTTTTTTTTTTTTAAATTTTATTTATTTATTTTTTTCCCCCAAAGCCCCAGTAGATAGTTGTATGTCATAGTTGCACATCCTTCTAGTTGCCGTATGTGGGACGCGGCCTCAGCATGGCCAGAGAAGCAGTGTGTCAGTGCACGCCTGGGATCCGAACCCGGGCCGCCAGCAGCGGAGCGCGCACACTTAACCTCTAAGCCACGGGGCCGGCCCCTAAGCCAGCCTTCTTAATTTCTAAGTTTTACTGGGGTTTATTGTGTGTTAGGGACTGTACTAAGTGCTTTACAAGCATTATTTCATTCAATCCTCATAATGGCCCTGGATGGTGGGTCCTGTTATCTTCACTCTACAAATGGAGAAGTCTAAGGATAAAGAATTTGTCCACTGTCGTGAAGTGGCAGAGGTGGGATTCACATTCGGATCTGCCTGATCTGAGAGCCCATGGTCTTAATCCCCATGCTCTACATGTCCTCCTGTGTGTTATGACTGGCTGCATGTGTGCACTGTCTCTTCGGCTATAGCGTGAGCTTCTTGAGGAGAGAGGACTGTAAGTTCTTCACCTTTGTCTTTCAGAAGCCTTAGCAAGGTGCTTGACACACATTCCATGCTCAATAAATACCAGTTGAATTGAATGGAAGTCAAGGTGTGCAAGAGGGATGAGGGTCGTTGGAGTTGAGAGGATGGAGGAACTCTGAGACCAAGTGATGAAAGGCTGTTCTTGTGGATGTTGAAGACCTAGAAAGGGCAGCTGAAAACTGATACCAAAATTATTCAGGAGGGTAGGTAGTGCTGTAGTTGTGGTAACACGCTTGGGGAGGGGGCTCTTGCCCAGGCAGAGCCACAGAATGACCATGGCTTGGTGTGGTTACCATATCTCAATCTCACGGTATAGTCTTCTGTTTTGCTGTTCCAGAAAGTTAGTTTTCTCTTTGTCCTCTAAAATGGTTAGGTTTTTATGTTGACACACGAAAGGCCCAAGAAACTATTCAATAACCAGAATACCATGTAGTTAAACCCAATTACCTTGACCGGAATTTTCTTTGTTTGTAATGGTATGGTCATCTGAGAAAGGCAGAAGGCAGACTAGAAAAGACAGGCGTTCACTATAGTGTCCTGTTTGGAGAAAATCTGTGTGACTAGAAGGGGATGGTCATTCCAGAACAACATAGGAGGCTGGCAATACCTATCTGAGTCTGTCCAAGGGAGGGAGTTTGATCTAAGCATGCTTGTTCAGATGAGCCTTTCTGTAAGTGCTCACTAAGTGATGACAGCTGTGATTTTTGTTAAGATGAGTGACAATGCTTCCAGGTACCCTTAACTGAGAAACACTTTTTGAGATTAGGTAACTCTCCATGTTCTATTTCCATGATTAGTGAACAACCCTCTGATCATCTGACTTCATACAGAGAGCGTATACAGCCAGGAAAGTACTGATCAGCCTGAGTTGATCTCAGGTTCACTTTATTACTGTTTCTTCTTGTCAATTAATAATGACACTATTGACATTCTCAAGCATTGCTTCTGTGTGCTTGTTTAAAGAGACTCTGCATCAAGGGACAGAATCCTCCCCACATGTAATACCAAGTAGTGTCCTCTGGAAGCAAACTACCAGGGTTCAATTCCTGGCTTGTACTATCTATGTAACCTTGGGCAAGCTATGCAATCTTTTATGCTTCAGTTTCCCTTATTTGTAAAATAGGAAAAATAATAGTACCTACCTCTAAAAGTAGTTGGAGAATAAAATGAGATAATGCACGGGGCCTTGTACCTAATAAACCCTCAATAAATGTTAGCTTTTAAGTTCAGGTTCCCGAGCTTGCCAGGCCAGGACCAAACCCTGGACTGTGGGGGAATAATCAAGGTAAATGCTGCCTACTCAATGAGCCTAGCTCCCCAAGATGATATCCTCTGCTTGTCTATGGAACACCTTAACATTTGAAACAAGTCACTGATACTTATACAGTCTCAGATATTTACATATATTAACTCATTTAACCTTTCTGGCAACCCAAAGAGGTAGGTACTCTTATTATCCTCATTTTACAGATGAGGAAACTGAGGCATAGAGAGGCTAAGTAATTTGCCCAAGTGAGTATATGGTGGCTGTCACTCCTGGAACCATCTTTTATTCACTTGTTAAACTACCTCTTTTCTTCTCACAATCATACCATTAAATTAAAGACTGGGTATTTTGCAGTGAGAAAGGGATTGAAAACATTTTTTCTCTCATCTGTAATGGTATTTTAAAGACATAGTTTCTGCTTTCTTAGTGAGCTTTGCATCCACCCATAAATGCATCATGTAGCTATAAAACATGGTGGGCTGCTTTGTTACTTGCAAATAAAATCAAACAAGGTTGTTCACCAGTTATTACATAGCAGGCATCACAGAACGTGCTATAATTGTGCTTTTTACTTCCCAATTTTCAAGATTAGTCTATCTGTTCTCACGTTTCAAAAAACCAGAAGGTAGGAACAACAAATGTATAACGGCACTTCTTCATAAAGTTTTTAATGTCTATAAAAAATTGAATAAGTATGCCTTAAGCCCCCTGGGTGTTAGCATTGTACCTGGCGAACGTCTAAGGCAGTAAACTAACGTTTCTGTGGCCTTTTAGAGCTCAGAGAGCCTTTCAGAAGATGCTTACACCACACAGTAAATGCAACGATGAAAAGACAAAGAAATCGCCAGCTTCTCTCCGCTTTTGCATCTCCTTCCTTAACTCCTGGAAATTACGTACGTTTGCCCAGTGTACGCCGGCAGTTATTTACTGAAGCTTCTCATTACCGCAACGGGTTTACTCCTAAGTGCGTCTCGGAATCTCTTCTTTCCCTGGTAGAGGCTCTCGGGTTGGCTGGAATCTGAGCATGCGCAGAAGCTCAGCAGACCCAGGGCGGGCTGGCGCTCTCGCGGGCGCCGCCTCCCTTCCCTTGACAACGGGAAGCGGGTGAGCGTCAGGGCGCGTGCGCAAACGTGGCCCGGGCGCCGGGGCGGTGGGTTACGCCTGGAGAGCGCATGGGCAGACAAACTGTACGTCCGTTTGTCCAGAGCGGAGGGGAGAGTGGGCGCCATCTTCTAGGCTCACGGAGGGCTCCACCTGTTCTGGAGAGGCTGCTGCGACAAGCAGTGTCCCCCGCCCCCGGCGTTGTGTGTCCGCCTCGGCAGCAGTGGTGTGTGTTTATTGCCAAGTGCGAAGTAGTTACCCTTGGGGCGTCGGGGGTGAGGAGGGGCTGGCGACGGGGACGGAAGAACAGGGAAAGGCGGGGCCGGCTTCTGCCGTTAGGGCACTCTCTCTCCTTGCCAAACACCGACTCTCCCGTCACCTCCATGTAGTGGTGTGTGCGCGCTTCCCAGTCTTCTTGAGAGTGAAGATCTCGAAGGATTTCATAGGTATTTTTTTCTTTGCTATGTCATCGTAGTCAGTGGTGGCAGGAAGGCGCTGAAGGCCCGGCTGCTTAGGCTTGAGAGGGGCCCCGGTGTTTGAGTTAGATCTGGGGGCAGTTCTCCCTCTGGCGAGTTAGGGCGGCATGTGTGCCCTTGGGACGGCGTAACGGAAAGGCACGGAGGTTGGGCGGTCCAGGTTAATTTGAAGGCTGATTTTGGCTGAAGGTCTGGCGACAGCATCGGATCCCACGTAGCAACTTCGGCCTGGCGCGAAAGAAGGAAACACTGACCCCCTGGGATATGGACAAAGGCTTTGGGCTATAGAAGCGATGTCTTCGGATGATCCCCGTTTGAGAATGATGGATGTTATGGGAAATCCTGTGCCGTGTGGATTCGTCTTCATTTACACTTCCTGTTGGGGACTATGGCTCTGTGTCGTCATGCTCTGGTTTTTATTTTAACCATCTACATTTTAAAAGGATAAAAGGCAGATCATCATAAAGAGTAATTATGGACTGGGATAGATCATTTTCTTGCAGGGGAAACTCAGGCGTTTACAATTTGAATGTGCTTCATCATAACTTTGGGGTTTAAGAAATAGTCACAGTTTTATCTCCCTTACCATGTCTAGAAAATGACTTAAAATCAAACGGATCTGAGATAATACGTATTCAGGTTTAGCCTCCCTACCGTTTCCCTCAGGCTTGTTTAGAAGATGCACATTTCGTATTGTTTAATGATAATGGTGAACAAGTGGGATGAATCGTCAGTTAAAATCAGCAAAGTTATTTAAAATGAGCTTATTAATTTCAGTGACTTGTCTTTAAATGTGCTTTCTTTAAATGTGCTTTTAAAAACCCACTTCCTTCTTTTCATGGATTAGAAGTTTTAACAGATCACTGTCTTTAGATCAACACAGTCACAAAAATACTTTTGTTGCATTCATAAGTAGAAAATTTTTAAGTGCAGAGTACTTTTGGTGTGTTTTGATTTTTGTGTAATGTTCTTAGAATTTCTGGGGAATTTGCATAAGGAAATAACATGGAAACCACAGGAAAAGTGCTCATTTTGAGAGCTGTTCTCTTTAGGTGGTCTCCTAGCTGTGTTATTGTAGAGGGAAAAATGGTACATTAACCTACTATCTCAAGGGCAAGAAAGTTAAAGCATTAGTTACATTTAACTGGCAAATTAGAACAAATTTTTTAGATAGTCTGCTTGAATTAGAATTCATGAGATTTGCACTCATGGTATGACTTAGTTAAAATAGTGTTTTTAAGTTAGGGAGTATAAATTACTAGAAATTTTTTGAATTTGACTTATAATTATTCCTTGAAACGTCCCTAACTTTTTTTGTAGATATATTTATGTTTTCAAGGTAAATTCCTTTAAAATTTTTTAAAAAATTTAGGAGGGACAAAATGATGTGTATCTTACACTGCTTTCTAAAATATTTTAAAAGTTAAAAAGGAGCTAAGTCAATTTGCATGGGAAGGAGTCTTGGAACTTAAGTGTGGACAACTAGTCCATAAGCCATTTATAGTTTTTGTTAAAATGTTGATGTGGATATTGGTTTGGGGAAGAAACTAGGCTTATACTTTTTTTTTTTTTTTTTTTTTGGCACCATACAGATTTTTATTTTAATAGACTCTTTTAAGAGCAGTTTTTTATGTTCACAGCAATATTGAGCAGAAGGTACAGAGATTTCCCATATGCCCCGTGCCCCTACACATGTACTGTGCAAATATATTTTAATAGTAAACCTCATTAATATTTTTAGTATCAATTTCGCATTGATAATTGAGATGTAGAATATGCCAAGTAATTTCTTGTAGTTTAGCTTGTAGTTTAAAACGTTTATGGCCCCCTTTCAAAGGAAAATAAACCTTGCATACCTCAAAGAATATATCTTCAGACCCCACTTTGTGGAAGAGTGGTACTTAAGTGTAAGTACTGAATTAAAGCAACATTTATTTGCACATTAAAAACATAAATTTATAATTATTAATTTAGCAGTTCTTTAAAACTTACTTGGTTAAGACTGCAGTATGTATTGTTAGTTTGGGTATCTCTGAAAGTATTAGATGTAAATTTCCTTAAAGATATACTAAGTTGAGGTTTTTCAGTAGTTAATACTGATAATCCCCAAACATTCGCAATTAATGTATGTTTATTATATTTTTACTGTTCTACATTGTATTTGGGTTTCGTCAGTAGAATGCAGGACAGTTTAAATGGAAAAAACTTATTAGCATAATATTCTGTATTTATCTGAACATTTTCTACTTGGCTTGAGATGAATTTTAATAGTAATTGTTTTAGGAGTTTAAGATAAGGAGTAGTAGTTGAGTTTAAGGTAAGGAGTAGTAGTAGTTGAGAGTTTTTATTTTAGGGATATTTTAGTATTTGCCTTAATTATATTGGAGTCAGGAAATTTGGGTCTATGGAAGCATGAGCTGTGTATATAGAACTTAAATTGTATCCAATGGTCACCATTGATTTAGATGTAAAAATTGGTTTTTGAATTCAGAACATTAGTGTTCTGTTCATTTATTGTACCATATTAATTTGAGTTGGTCTTACATTTTGAAAGGGAGGAGAATTGCAAGAGTTGGACATAGTAATGAGCTAGATGTTTGGTCTTTTCAGGAGTGCAAGTGATAGAAAGTTTTTTGGGAATTTTTGGTGTTTTTAAATTATTTTACTTGTAGAATAGTTATTTTTTTTAAATGGATGTAAAATTTATATGCAGTGAAATGCACAGACCTTAAGGATAGAACTCATTTAACCTTGATAAATTTATACACCCATGTAACCAATACTCCAATCAAAATATATAACATTTCTATCACCCCTTTCCTTGTGCCACTTCCAATCAAGGAGCAATTGTTTCATTTTCAGAAGGTTTTTTTGTTCTTTAAATAATTTGCAGATGTCTACTTGGAATTTGTACCTCCTTTTTGCTGAGGGATGATTAATTTCCCTTTGGAACAAAGAAGACCATTTTATAATGCCCGTAGTTGTGGTTTCTTATATTGCTTCACTTTTAATAGGTAATTCTGAAGTGAATATCCTAATCTGGCGTTGTTTAAGATGAATTGCAGGGTCCAAGGATTAATTATATTTCATTTTCTTTCCACAGTTAAGTTGCTTTTACAGAATTAACAGGTCTTCAAGAAATTTAAACAAAGGTAAGATATCCAGAGCTTAAGGCTTTTCACAGAGGCTTGACAAAAAAAAATGTAAAGTAGAATAGTATATCTAGGTACACATGGCTTCTGTACTTTATGTCTGACCAGTGATGTACGAGGGTTAGGCAATTTATTATCATGAACAGAAATCGTATACTGACCATAGATGGCTTTTCTAAATATGTAAAATTCATCGTGGTTGGTAAAATTCTTTAATCCACAAAGCTCTCTCCTGTTTCAGTAGAAGATATGTTTCTAAGTGAGTCTGAAAATAGTTTGGTCTTGTTGTGAAACAGCAGTTGGCAGACTTACCAAGATTTGATATTTTTGATGCTCATACCGTATAGGATAGGTGATATGAAATGTTTCTTCAAAGTAGTTGGTATATTTGTATGTTTAGATGAGAGAAAGTTTATTCCTTATTTTTTTTTAAGAATTAGATACAATCAATATTTTTGTGAACTTGTATCTTGTTTTCATTTTTAAATGCGGAAGAAGGTAGGAACCAAGTAATTATTAAGCTTAGTTTGGGATAAGGTACTTAAAAAATAAGACTTGCTATTATGTGTACCTTTTTGTCTGCAGGTCATTATTGCTGTGGTTTGAGCTCAGCATGGCTGTAGTCATCCGTTTACTGGGGCTTCCTTTTATTGCGGGGCCTGTGGATATTCGTCACTTTTTCACGGGATTGACTATTCCTGATGGAGGAGTGCATATAATTGGAGGGGAAATTGGGGAGGCTTTTATTATTTTTGCAACAGATGAAGATGCAAGACGTGCCGTAAGTCGTTCAGGAGGGTTTATCAAGGATTCATCTATAGAGCTTTTTCTTAGTAGTAAGGCAGAAATGCAGAAGACTATAGAAATGAAAAGAACTGATCGCATAGGAAGAGAGCGACCAGGATCTGGGGCATCAGGGGTTGGCAGCTTCTCTAATTTTGTTGAAGCTATTAAAGAAGAAGCAATTAATTCTGGATATGCCTCTCCAATTAATCAAGATGCTGGGTTTCATACTAATGGTACAGGACATGGTGATTTAAGGCCGAGAAAGACACGACCATTGAAGGCCGAGAATCCTTACTTGTTTCTACGAGGTTTGCCTTACTTAGTAAATGAAGATGACGTACGTGTCTTTTTCTCTGGTTTGTGTGTGGATGGAGTAATTTTCTTAAAACATCACGATGGCCGAAATAATGGTGATGCTGTAGTAAAATTTGCTTCATGTATTGATGCTTCAGGAGGTCTTAAATGTCATAGAAGTTTTATGGGTTCACGATTTATAGAAGTAATGCAAGGCTCAGAACAACAGTGGATTGAGTTTGGTGGTAATGCAGTTAAGGAGGGTGATATTCCTATGAGAACTGAAAAACATTCTCCACCAAGAGGAATTAATGATAGACATTTTCGAAAACGATCTCATTCAAAAACTCCCAGAAGAACACGTTCTCGTTCCCCTCTCGGATTTTATGTTCACTTAAAAAATCTGTCTCTCAGTATTAACAAAAGAGATTTAAGAAATTTCTTTAGAGATACTGATCTGACTAATGAACAGATTAGGTTTTTATATAAAGATGAAAGAAGAACAAGATATGCCTTTGTGATGTTCAAGACTCTGAAAGACTACAACACTGCTCTGGGTTTACATAAGACTGTTTTACAATATCGTCCAGTTCATATTGATCCAGTTTCTAAAAAACAAATGCTGAAGTTCATTGAATGTTATGAAAAGAAAAGACCAGTGTCAATAGAGAAAGAGAGGCTTGGACATGTTTCACAAAAATACTCTCAAGAAGGCTACTCTGGCCAAAAACTGTGCATATATATACGAAATTTTCCATTCGATGTTACAAAAGTTGAAGTGCAAAACTTCTTTGCAGATTTTTCTCTTGCTGAGGATGACATTTACTTGCTTTATGATGACAAAGGAGTTGGTCTGGGAGAAGCATTGGTGAGATTCAAATCAGAAGAACAGGCCATGAAAGCTGAACGTTTGAACCGACGAAGATTCCTAGGGACAGAGGTATTGTTAAGAATTATATCTGAGGCACAAATGCAGGAGTTTGGTGTAAGTTTTTCCTTGATGTCCAGTGAGAGAATGCAAGACCATTCACAGTCATGTGAGAGAGATGACCACTCCCACTCATTCGACTCAAATGATCCACCGGTATACTTAGTTGGCCCTTCTGAAAACTTTAGGCATCAGGAAGAGGACTTGAGGCAACTGGACAATTTCAAACATCCCCAGGGGGAGTTCGGACAGCCTGATAGGCGCCCTCCAGAAGACTTTAGGCATTCCCCAGAGGACTTCAGGTGCTCCCCGGAAGACTTCAGGCACCCTCGGGAGGAACACTTAAGGCGGCCTCTTGAGGAGGACTTCAGGGGCCCTTGGGAGGAGGACTTCAGATACCCTCGGGAGGAGGACTGGAGACGGCCACCTGAGGAAGATTTCAGGCGGCCTCCCAAGGAGGACTTCAGGCGACTCCCTGAGGAGGACTGGAGGCGGCCCCTGGAGGGAGAATTCAGGCGACCCCCTGAGGAGGATTGGAGGCGGCCTCCTGAGGAGGACTTCAGGAGGCTTCCCCCCGGGGAATGGAGGCGACTACCTGAGGAGGACTTCAGGTGGCCCCCTGAGGAGGATTTCAGGCGACTTCCAGAGGAAGACTTCAGGCGGCCCCCTGAGGAGGACTTCAGGCATTCTCCCGAGGAGGATTTCAGGCGTTCTCCTGAGGAAGATTTCAGGCGGCCACCCCAGGAACACTTCAGGCGGCCACCCCCAGAGCACTTCCGGCGGCCACCCCAGGAGCACTTCCGGCGGCCACCCCAGGAGCACTTCCGGCGGCCATCCCAGGAGCATTTCAGGCGGCCACCTCAGGAGCATTTCAGGCGGCCACCCCAGGAGCATTTCAGGCGTCCCCGAGAGGAAGATTTCAGGCACCCACCGGATGAAGATTTCAGGGGCCTTCCTGATGAAGACTTTAGACACCCTCCTGATGAGGACTTCAGGAGCCCCCAGGAGGAAGATTTTAGATGTCCTTCTGATGAGGACTTCAGGCGGCTCCCAGAGGAAGACCTCAGGGAAGGTCCAGAGGAGGACCCTAGACTTCCTGACAATTTTAGACCTCCTGGTGAGGAGTTTAGGAGCCCACCTGATGATTTTAGAAGTCATCGCCCTTTTGTGAATTTTGGTCGCCCAGAGGGTGGCAAGTTTGATTTTGGAAAGCGTAATATGGGAAGTTTTCCTGAGGGGAGATTTATGCCTGATCCAAAATTAAATTGTAGTTCAGGTAGAGTAACACCTATTAAGATAATGAATCTTCCATTTAAAGCTAATGTTAATGAAATTCTAGACTTTTTCCATGGTTATAGAATCATACCTGATTCAGTTTCAATACAATATAATGAGCAAGGATTACCTACAGGGGAAGCCATTGTTGCTATGATAAACTATAATGAAGCTATGGCTGCTATTAAAGACCTAAATGATAGGCCAGTTGGTCCGCGCAAAGTTAAGTTAATTTTGCTCTAAAGAGCATTTATAAATTCAGAGTTACCTCCCCACAGTATTGATGCAGTAAAATGCATTTTTTTATGGTGTTTATTTTTAATTATCTAGTGAAAAATATTTTAATTTTGACCTGTGAATAGAACAAATGTAAATAGTAGAATGTGAATCTGATTTTCTTTTGTTTGCAAATTGCCGTTCATTTTTTCTAATTTAAAATTATATATGCCTTTTTTTTTTTGACAGTGGGGGAGAGAACTAATATTCCCTGAGTGCATTAATTTTTGTTGCTGTCATGGGTAAACCTCAAGACTTGTATAAAGTAGAGCTGTATTTGGGGAAGATAAATTTTATATTCACTTTTGTTTCCATTCTGTATTCTGCATCCTTTACTCAAACTTTATAAGGAAATGGTCAGTGACTGATTGTTCAGGTTTAGCATTTTCCTTGCTAACTGCCTGCAAAATTAATGCCCTCTTCCTCGTCTGAGATATTACTGTGTTAAGCCTCCCGTTAATTATAAATAGTTCAAAATGGACAGACTGTGAACTTGAAGTTTACTCATGTAAGAAGCTTAGGAGATTCTTAAGTTTCCATGTGCATAACTTTGGAAAGTTTTATAAAAATAAAAAGATTGCAACTGAACAGACCAACTAATTAACTTTATTTGTATTTGTATAAAAAGAAAAAAGAGCTTCTTTTGGGAAGTTTTTCAGTAGCTACGTTAAACAATATTTATGATAGGAGGACCAAACATTCTATAATAATAATGTAGAGTGCTCTGTGTAGTTCTACGGTTTCTTCAACATCTCATCAACCAAACTGATAACTCAAAATACATAAAAGACAAAAAATAAAGTAATTATAGGTACGAGGGGACTTTCAGGCTTATGCTGGGAAGAATCTGATAAATAGATATAGTTTGTGTTTCTAGGAAAGATTTACTGATGTAACTTGTATTTTTTATTAGGTTCTCATTTTTTAATTTCAAAACTTTGTATCTAAAGACTCAGTCACTAAATATAATACTTTTGTGAGATTGAATTTTGACTTCTTTGATATTCAACATTTAGTGTAGACATTTTGCAAATATTGGATTTGATTTTCTATACCCATAATAATATTAATAGCTAACATTTATTGGGTACTTACTATGTGCCAGGCAGTATAATTGCTTTATATGCATAATCTCAGTATTCCCCAAGAACCATCGAGTATTATTTACCTCTGTTTCACAAATAAGATAATGCAGTTTAGAGAGGTTAAATAACTTGCCTAAAGTCATAGCTAGTAAATCATGGAGCCAATTTCAAGCCAGACAGACCAGACTCCAGTTCATGCTCTTAAGACTTTTGCCTACTAACTTTGTTAAATGATATATATATATTTTTTTTTTGTGAGGAACATCAGCCCTGAGCTAACATACATGCTAATCCTCCTTTTTTTGCTCAGAAAGACCAGCTCTGAGCTAACATCTATTGCCAATCCTCCTCTTTTTTTTCCCCAAAGCCCCAGTAGATAGTTGTACGTTGTAGTTGCACATCCTTCTAGTTGTTGTATGTGGGACACGGCCTCAGCATGGCCGGAGAAGCAGTGCGTTGGTGCATGCCCGGGATCCGAACCCGGGCCGCCAGTAGCGGAGCGTGTGCACTCAACCGATAAGCCACGGGGCCGGCCCCTAAATGATATTTTTAATTTTAGTAAGACCATGCTAAAAATATTTTCAAGAGTAAATGATATTTTCTTACCTCCATTATTGCTTTAAAAATAGCATTAAAAAAGATAAAATTAGTATGTTCATTCTTAATAAAAAACAAAGTAAAAATTTTTATCCAGAGTTTCTCTTAGATAATTATATATTGCCTTCTAATTTAAAATTGTTCGTTTTATCAAACATGATTTGACTTTGGTTAGCCTTTTATAATTTATATAAAATAAAGTTAATTTTCCTCAATTCTATGACTGAGATATTTCCCACATTGAGCAAAAAAAAATAAAATTTGAATTTATATACAGTTTAGTTATTTAATACTAGGATGCTGCAGAAGTAGAATACTTTGTCAATACTTAGTCAGTTAGTACAATAAATATTTTGGATTAATCTTCAGTGATTTAATGAAGTCTATGAGAAGCCAACTGAAGTTTCTGTGTGGTTTTTTTAATTACAGTGACTATCCTGCTTGCTAGTAGAATGAATAAACTGGTAAATTTGGTTCAAAAAGCACATCAATATGGCTCTTTAAACTAGTAAGCTTATAAATAGCTAGAAGAATGATGAACTGTAATATCCAAACCAAGCACAACAAAAAAATAGGAAGAAATGATATTTTTAAATGCTCAAAGCTTAGGTAGATGGTTCATTTGACAGCCTTGAGGAATGTATGGAAGACTTAAAAATGCTTCTCAAACACATAACAATAAAAGCTAAGATGAAGCATAAAGTGAAGTATTTAATGTGGAACTGCTTCTCAAACTAGGCTGGGGTGGGATGGTGGTGGTAGATAAGAGGCCAACAATAGTAAACACAAGCTTTGTATTTTGATTGTACAATTAATGAATTGATGTGAAGAGTAAATTTTACTCCATAATCTATAAGAAGTTTAATAATTTTTTGCCTTTTTTAAATAAAAATATTATTATAGGAAGCTGCCTACTGGTTGGGAGCCATTTTTGCACATCTCTTCCCAACTCTCCCTTCAGTGATAGGTTGATAACTTAAATTGGCCGTGGAAGGAGTATTTAAACCAAGGAAATTGGCAAATGCAGCAAATCGGCATTTTCCACCCCAGAGAGCCAGTTTACCAGCACACCACCAATTTCAAACACATGAAAGGGAATAGTGTACTAAATCTTCATATAGCCATCACCCAGCTTCAATAATTATGTCATCGCCAGTTGTACTTTCTCCTACTCCCAGATACATCAGGTACATGGGGGCATACTGGTTTAATACCCAGTGGCATTTTAATTACCTTAAAGCCAAATATTTTTATCTAGAAGTTATTTGAAAAATATAGATCATGCCTAGAAAGTAAACTTAATCCCATAACCAAGAGATAGGTAAGAATCATTATATGAAGAGTGCACTTTTATCACTTACTGAGAACATTGTCAAGAGCAATGGCTCTTGGTCCATGTATCACCTCTTACACCTCAAGCAGTGACCCTGTCACCTTCATCTTTGTGGTAAATGTTAGCTGCTATTTAGTGAGCTGCATTAGATACTATATGATCTGTAATTATATATGAATTAACTATCATTTAGTCTCAATAATCTTAATACACCTTTTTTGGAGATAAGCAATGGAGGCCTGTAGGCTATATAGCTGGTGGGGTTAGTGCCTGTTTTCTCAAGGAAGCTGAAAGAGGTCTTGACATTTTTAAAGGGGGTTACATTTTAAATGGTTATATAAGTACAGATGTAATAGCCTTGATTTTGTCTCTCGGCCCACAAATTGTAAAAATATTTACCATCTAGCCCTTTAAGAAAAAGTTTGTCAACCTATGCCTGGTCTAAAAGAACTTAATTTTACACTGATGAAAGTGTTATCGTGTATAGTGTTCCTTTTGTCCTTAGAATATTTCTTTGAGGTAAGCAGAGCATACATTTTATATTAGAATTATTGCTAATTGCTTCATATATCAGGCACTGTTTAACGTTACAGATAGGGCAGCTGATGCTCAAGAGAAGTGAGTTGCTTTAGTAAACAGCAAGAGAAATACTATAACCCTGTCTTTTCTCCCAACTACACCACCAAATTTAAAATATTGAGAAAATAAAAATGCAATGATATCCTCAGTTTCTTAAGAATATCAATTTATTTAGGGTTTTAAAGTTCTGAATATTTTATTTAAGAAGTACTGAAGTAATTTTATCTATGAGGACTATTCTTAGGAACCAGTATTTTAAGAACAGAACCATGACTAACAAAGACAAACGTTCTTAGAAAGTTTATTTTTCTGTTATGAATAATTGCTTTTTGTGGTTATGCCAGATGATTGTATAAATTTCATAATTTTTATATGCCTGACTGGGATCCATGAAATAACAAAAGTACAATTCCCTATCCAAAGAAACAAAAGCATCAGACATACTGAAAGGCTCTGATTAAACTGTTTTATATTTTTAGGAACGAAAGTGACCAAAAAGTCTTTCATTAATTACTGGTAGTTTGGTAAAATTTTTATAGAATTTTTAATGATTTATGGTTTTCCATGTTTTCTTTTCTTTGGCAACATTCCACCAAATTACAGCTTTCCATAAGTTGTAGTACCATGTAAAATGCTTTAGTATGACAGCAGTTTCATTTTAAAACCAGAATCAGGCTGAATGTGGCTTTCTTTCTCAGCTAAACTTTATGCTTTATGTATAGTCATAAAACACTGATATCCTAGTATCCCATTTTAATCAAGAGAGATTACACTCTTGTTGAAAAGTAAATTTATGTATCAACAGTGAAACTTCAGGTTGTAGTAAAAATGAAAAAAAAGTTAAGAAAACTTGTCTTTTTGATTAAGGCTTTATGAAATAGAATTTGTATTCAATCAGAATGACTCTCTAGGACCCTTTTCTGGTTATGAAAGCATGGTATCTTAACCTCAAAGAAACAAGTGGAATAGATCTTTTTTTTTTTTGTGAGGAAGATCAGCCCTGAGCTAACATCCATGCCAATCCTCCTCTTTTTGTGCTGAGGAAGACTGGCCCTGGGCTAACATCTGTGCCCATCTTCCTCCACTTTATGTGGGACACCACCACAGCATGGCCCGACAAGCGGTGTGTCGGTGCGCGCCTGGGATCCGAACCCGGGCCGCCAGCAGCGGAGCGCATGCACTTAACTGCTACGCCACGGGGCTGGCCCCCTAGATCTTTTTTTTTGTGGTCTTACTGTTACAACCTCCACTAGGTAGAGTGCATTAATATGAAATACTTTTGAAATACATCATCTTTTTTAAAAAAATGGAACTGGTACAAAAAGATCACATACTGCCAGATAGGATGTTGAAATGACTGGTGTGTAATATTTTTTAAAACCTTGATGTTGGTCAGCATAAATTTTCTTTAATTATTTTTCATTTCCAGTAGGATTTCATTTTGAGGTTTAAGGTATCAAGCCAGTATAAAGTTTTACAACTCAGTAATTTTGGATTCCAGGTCATTTAAGATGAAAATGGAAATGTGAAGTTTACTTAAGAAAATTAATTTTCTTCTTCTGTACCATCTAAGTCTTCATCCTCTTCATCATCATCATCTGCTTGTTGATCCTTTCTTAGTCGACAGGTGGATACCTGTTAAAAGTTAACACATTTTAAAAAATACTAACTTAAAAACATTTTTACACGCTTGTATCTTTTTAAATATGCCCTTATAGAGAAAGACACATAGAACAAATATTTCAGAGAAATGTCTGTTAAGTGATAATTTTTAGTAATGAAAATTTCCTATGAATTACTGTATTTTAAGGTTGAAAACAGTCACCAAGTTTTTTCATTCATTTACCATGTTATTTTTTGAATAAAAATGTGAAATTAACCATTTGATTCTGGTTGGATACCAGTACTTCAATAACATAAAATACTTTCAGCGAAAGCAGAGTCTCAGTATATTATAAATGTCAAAAATATTTTAGGTTAAACAATTCTTGGGTCACAAAACAGGTATTTGAGAATCATCAAAGGGATGGCAAAACACAAGGATATTTCAACTAGGCAGTTGAAATACTGAACTTTAACAAGTGTGATTTACATGGAATGAGTTGAGAAGCTGAATTCACCACTTGGCTTTAAGTCCTGACTTGCTACTTGGGTCATCTTGCTTCAAACCTTTCTAAGGGTGATTATTACCTCCCAGGGGACATCTGGCAATGTCTGGAGACAATGTTGATTGTCACAGCTGGGGGTGTGTGTTTGTGTCTGCTACTGGCATCTTGTGGGTAGAGGACAGGGATGCTGCTCAACATCTTGACAATGCACAGCAGCCCCTTGCACCCCCCCCCCCCCCCCACCAAATTATCTGGCCCAAAGTCAATAGTGCTGAGGTCGAGAAACCCTGGGATAATGTAAGATGTTAGCTCACTTAGCTCTAAATAGTGAAACAAAACTTTGTATGTACTATAATACCAGATTTATGGAATTTATGTGCAAGGCACTTAATGCTGGAATAATAAAAATAATTTGGTTAGGGGGAGAGATGCACAAATATAAAGCAGTAAGTAAACGCTTAGAGGAGAATCAAATGAAAATAGAAGGTATTGGGTCAAATTTACCTAAAAGTTATATTTTGAAAATATTTTGCTCAATTTTAAATTTGAAGGGTTAGATATGAAAAAGGGCATAGCTCTCTAGATCAGGAGTTGGCAAGCTCTGGCCCAGTTTGTATCCTGTTTTTGTAAATAAAATTTACAGCCATATTCATTTGTTAATGTATTGATTATGGCTGCTCTTAGTTGGGACAGAGACCACATGGCCTGCAAAACCTGTTATTTTCTGTGGCCCCTTAGAGAAGAAGGCTGTTGACCCCTTCCTGTTCTAAATACTAGGTAACTCAAACTTTCTGGATATAGAAGAAATGAGAAAATTGGCTCTTTACCTAAAGATCTGTGCTTCTGGATCTATGATAATGTTCAGCAAAAGTCCTTTTTAGATACAGTTTCCAATAAGTGGTGATAGTGGGATTTAAACCCTAAGCAGTTTGACCTCAGAATATGTCCTCTTCATATTATTTGTTGTTAGTGCTGTTGAATCAATTCTGACTCCTAGAGCGACCCTGTGGACAGCAGAGCTGAACGTTGCCTGGTCTTTTTGCTCCTCCTCCTCCTTCCAGTGCTGTATCAGACAATGCTCTGCTGTTCACAGGGTTTTCATGGCCAGTTTTTTCGGAAGTGGATGGCCAGGTCCTTCTTCTAGTCTGTCTTAGTCTGGAAGCGCCGCTGAAACCTGTCCACCATGGGTGACCCTGCTGGTATTTGAAATACCGGTGGCATAGCTTTCAGCATCACAGCAACATGCAGGCGATACAGTACCACAACCGACAGACGGAAGGTGTGGTTTCCTGACCAGGCAACGAACCTGGGCCACGGCAGTGGGAGTGCCGAATCTTAACAACTAAACCACCAGGGTTGGTTCTTCATAATCAGAACAAATCTAGATTGGCATTCTTCTGTCCTTTCCACCTCTGCTCTCAAGTATTCTGCTTTAGAGAGTAATATGTGTTACAGTATACAAGATTATATAAGAAATAACAGCTGCACCTACTACAATTTTCTGTTATTTCACCTAAGAGAGGGTAAGAAATAACAGAGCTGCACCTGCTACAATTTTCGGTCTTTTTATGTAAAAGGGGGTAAGTTACATGAGGTCATAAGACTTAAGAGAGACATTTTTAGTACTGAACAATTCCAAAGGCAGCAGCTCAAATTCCTTTAAATAACCATTGCTAGCTCACCTGTCCTGTCCCAGATACACACTTAGCTGACAGTGATCTCTGAAGAGGTGACTTCGAATTCGCTCTTACGATATCTAAACGAGATGAATAATCTGGTGGATACAGAGAATTTCGGAAAACCTGTTGCAATGATAAAACAACATTATAAAGTAGATAGTAAACAATGGAAATCTAGAAAGCCATGTTAAGTTCCTCTTAGTTAAGATTTTTTTTTTAAAGCAACCTCCCTCCCTCTGTGGACAAAATTTCAATAATTGTAAATTTAAAACACACAAAAAAATAGAAAAATATTTTAGGTTGGAAAGATGAGAGCTAAAAAAGCCTATTTGAACCATGCAAGAAGATGATGGGTCCTGAAGCAATCACTTGAGAGCTTTTGCTGGAGCAGTGTGAAAGTTCCTACCCTCGGAGTATGCAAGCCAATAGGGAGGCTGCAAGTCATACCTTTGATTCCTTCCGTTCTGCCTATCCTCAGCTCTTCTATTAATTTAACTTCACTGCAGTACTTTTATAGTACATCACATAAGAGTAAACTGTAGCCACTACAATTTATTGATTCCAATCTCACTAGGATCTGTAATGCCATTACTTGTCAGTTCTATTTCCTTAAAGCAGTAGTTCCAAATCTTGCCACTCTCTAAGCCTCCCTATCCCTGTATATATTTCTCTAACATACAGACCAACAGGTAAGGTTATCAGATGTGAATTTCTTCAGCTTTCCCTCTCTTTTTCTTCAACTCTTCACCCCATTCTTTTCTTTTTTTTTTAAAGCAAATGTTATTCTGATTCTTTCCAAGGTACATTTTACCTTTATCCAAAACTTCAAACTAAACCGACATACAAAAGTTTTCTTTCTCCACAGGTTCTCTCCGCCAGCAAACAAGGTCAAGATCAATTTTTTTTTTTAATTACTTCAAGGTTCAACTTCATCATTCTTTAAAAAACTGAAATATTCTACTTCATCTCCATTCATCCGTCAACAAACTACAGTTAGGCTTTCATCTTCCACTCAAATTGCTCTTGCCAAAAATCACCAAAGTCATCTTTTTGCCTTCCTCTTCACTGACCTTGTCCTGAAACTTTTTCCTGCATGCCGTCACTAAACTCTTTCATGTGCTAGCTGCCCTGTTTCTTCACATCTCCTTTTCTACTGCTTGCACCTTAAATATTTTTAAAGGGTTTCCCTTAGGCCACTTTTCCTTTTTTGATACATTTTTCTGAAAGATCTTATCTACACAGTGTGTTTAATGGTTACCCTTCAACCAATTCTCTATAGACTCTTTTTATAGGCATATTTATGCTCCCAAACTACATTTTGTTCTCTTAGACCAGCACTGTCCAATAGGACTTTCTGAGATGATGGAAATAAATGCTTGCTGTTCTGTGCTGTCCAAAGAGGACACATATAGCTACTGAGCCCTTGAAATGTGGTTCATGTGACTGAGGAACTGAATTTTTAATTTAACCTTAAAATGCCACATATGCCTAGTGGCTACTATATTAGATGGTGTAGCTCTAGATTCATCGTTATAATGAAAGACATTACCATACACTTAGTAGACCAGGTTAGAAGTCTGGGCATTCCCCTAAATTTCTCACCTGAGGTACTTGTATTTTAATTTATTGACTCGACACATCTTTCCTTATAGCTTACTTAGAATTATCTTACTAAAGGCCAATGTATGCTTTCTCTATTAAAAAACTTGGTGGCTCCTGACTACCCAGAGTCCAGATGCCTTTGGTGACATTCAAGGCTTACGATCACCCAAACCTACCCATCACTCTTCACTTCTAGCCTATATACCCATATGCAGAACATGTTATACTCTTAGCAATGCTGATTCCTCAGCCTGGAATTCCAGCAAACTTACTTGTTCAAGAGCCAAGTCAAATGCTGTCTGTCTTCTGCTTTCCCCTGTTCTCTGTCAGTAGCTCCTGTTCATACCCTCAGTACAGCATTCATCTCACTGTGTTGTAATTACCTATCTGTCTCTATCACTAGTTTTAAGTTCCTCTAGGGCAAGGAGCCCTGTTCTATCTTTGCAACTCCTCCCAGCTTAAGACAGTAACTTGGTAAATGAGTGATGTTAATATGAGTTTTGGGGAAAAAAGGAGACCCAAACTAGGGGATGTCTCCACACATTTCTTTAAACCTTAGAGAAGTATAGGACGCAAAAGGAATCAAGGGATGCAACTTAATACGAGAGGTATTTAGGTTATTTAGGTTAACCTAATTAGGTTATTTAACAAGTTACTGAGGACCCCGTTGTATTCTGGTGCCAGACATGGAATACTGGCATTCTGGTATGATATAAAAATTAGACGACTCATTTATCAACTGGTATTTGGAAGGGATGTATTTTTGTTAGAACAGCATTCCTTTTTTAACTTTTCTAGCAAAGATCAAGTTAAAAGTGGGAAACAGAAGACAATATACAACCCTTGGGATAACAGTCTAAACAAGTTAAATATTAAAATTAATCTCTTACTGCAAAACAACAGATTTACAGAAATATTAGTTTATTGGCAATAATGCGTTTCTCAATATGGTCCAAGATCTCTTCTAGGAGTGAGTCTCAAGATCTGAATATGCTCTGAAGTGATTACACAGAAATGATCTTTTGAAGGGGAAAATGGGTCTGACAATACTTTTTATGTGAAGAACAAATAAGGTAAGATGGTTTGTGATAATACCTAGATGCCTAACTGCAAAAAAATAGCTGCTGCCAGAATAAGTCTCAGCAGTTCTCATAAAGCACGGACTACCTAAGAAGAATAGCAAGTTATTTCTCTGCCCCTCTCTGCATATTTTCTCTACTTGTTTCTAAGAAACCTTGTGTTTAAAGGATTCTTTCTCATCTTGGTACCTTATTGATATAATTTTACTTCTGTTGGTCCCACAACTCTCCCCAGACTGCTCTCCTCCCTCTCTACAATTTCGATGTGGCATAATAGTTTATGCCTGTAATTCATTATGCCCCAGGACCTTTGCATATCTATCTATACCCTCCACCTGGAAGTTGTTGCCAGGCATCCTCCTACTCATCCCTCAAGCTTCTACTTAAGAAATCATTCTTTGATTCTCCAGACTAGCATTTAGGATCCTCCAATACATAAACTCACCACACACTATATTTCTTCTTTAGGGGACTGGTTGCATTATAAAACTTAAATAGTTACATAGTATACTTTTTTAATGTCTGAACTCCCTGGTAGATTTTTAAGTTTCTGCTTTGACAACTCGGACCATTTCTAATTTATAATGCTAAATCCTCAGCACTTAGAATGGTGCCTGGCAATATAACAGGAGCTCAATAAACAGTTGATGAGTGAACATTTTATGACATAAGTACTATAAGTATCTCCATTTTAGAGAGGAGGAGGCTTAAATGTGAAGAAGTTAACTGCTCAATATTGCCCCACTAGAAAGTGGGCAAGTTGACACTCAAAAACACATCTACCACACAGCCCTGAGATCTTTAGTTTTTTATAAATCTCTCCTCCTACAAGCTACCTAGCTAGCTGATTAGGAGTAGTGGTAAGAGAAGTTATAAAAGAAATGGTGTGACAGGGGCCGGCCCCATGGCTTAGCGGTTAAGTGCGGGTGCTCCACTGCTGGCAGCCTGGGTTTGGATCCCGGGCGTGCACTGACGCACTGCTTGTCTGGCCAGGCTGAGGCGGTGTCCCACATACAGCAACTAGAAGGATGTGCAACTATGACATACAACTGTCTACTGGGGCTTTGGGGAGAAAAAGGAGGAGGATTGGCAATAGATGTTAGCTCAGGGCTGGTCTTCCTCAGCAAAAAAAGAGGAGGACTGGCATGGATGTTAGCTCAGGGCTGATCTTCCACACACACAAAAAAAACAAATGGTGTGACAAAAAAGATATTGAGGAGCTCTGGAATGACAAGGAAAATCTAGGGGTCCAAAGGGCTTGAAGGAACTTTAGTGTCAGTTAACAAATGTCATGTCAAGGGTATCGGAAAAAGGAGAATAAAAATATTTGTAAAAGGAACTCCAGTCTTGTAGGAAAAGTGGGGGATCAATTTTGAACCTGCCCCTCAATGCAGTGTTGTTTCTTGCAGGAAATGGTTCATGTCACTCATCAAGAACCACGCTTCTGGCATTATAGTGCAGAGAGGGTGAAAACACAGTGTCTGTAGTCAGACTTCCAGGTTTGGCTCTCAGCTATGTTACCTGCTAGCTATGGGACCCTCTGGGAAGTTTCTTAACCTCACTGTGCCTCAGTTTTCTCATCCATGGAAGAGGACAATAAGTACTTTTATCAAAGTTGAAAGGAGGATTAAAATAATTAAAGTGCATAGATCAGTAGCTGCTCCAAAGTAATCATTCTATAAACATCTGCTATTTTATTATTTTACAAATGACAGGTAAAAGCATGATAATCTATTTTTTAAAAAATAGGACATGAAACAGAGTGAAAATTAAGAAACCTTAGCTTTAGTATTTGGAAGGAATGGACATTTAGGAAGCAATCTATTGACAATTAATAGAAAAACAATAAGGTATGCGTAACATGTAAAACTGTGAGATCAGATTTTGGCATTGGAAAACATATATACACATACTAAAACATGTACCTTTCTTCATTTTAGTCAAGCTATAATCTGGTTTTACTGAATTAAGTTTCCTGGAACCAATGGAGTAGTGGAAAGGCGCAGGGGATCTCTTTATGGATAGTGAAGTTAGTAAAAAAATTGGAGGAATCTTCAGAATTGTCAAATGGCAGATACTCCCAAATTCTATCACTAATTAATACAGAATTCTAGGTATATCTTGAGAGTACATGGATTTTTTCACTTCTGTAGAGATAATATGGGCAAAGTATGTCTCGAATATTTGACTTATATCAGCAAAAATACTTCTGTGCCTTTTTTCCCCTCTTCTGGAAGGTAAGAGGGTGGGACATTTACTCTGCAGATGTGCTTGCTGAAGCCAGGCTTTGATATTTAATTGCTCTGTTAGCTGGCCAATCAGATTTATTTGCATTTAACTGTCAGTAGAAAGCAAGCCTTATATATAAACCTACATTTATTTCAGAGCTTACTGATTAAGTCACACAAAACTGGTTAGAATCCTGATTTTGCTATTTACTAGCAAGGTGGCATGGGCAAGTTAAGTTACGTAAAGCTTCTAACTCTGTTTCTGCAGTTGTACAGAACTACAGAAACAGATGAGAGGAAAAATAAATCAACTGTTGTAAAATGAGATAGTAACAGCACGTACCTCACTGGGTGTGTGAGGAGTAGATGAGGAGATGCATGTAAAGCTTTGGGTCCTGGGCATGGCATCAACACTCAACGTTCGTTCATATCAATGAACGTTATTCTTAGTGCACTTAGTGACTTATATCACCAGTCAAAATGATATTTTACTGGCTATTAATACATTAACTCTTGGAACTTCACCGTGGTTAATTTGAAAAGTTAAAAATAAATAAATAGAAAATCAAAAGTTCAGCTATTTGGGGCTGCACACAATAACATATCCATTGTAGTGTTCTAATTTAAGATTATTTTACCCACACAAACTAATGCTCTCTTTTAAACATTTCCATATTAATAGAAAAACTGAGCTTAGAAAGACATAGTCCTACCTCTAAATCTTCTTCTTCATCAATCTTTTGTATATTTTGATAGGCAGCAGTGTAGACTTCTAAAGCTTTGCCATGAAATAACATTTCGATAGTGATAAATTCTGAAAATATAGTCTAAAAAAAACCAAAGATTTGAATTTAAACAATCATAAAAATTGCTTTCTGAATTTAGAAAATCTATTCCTGACTATAGTCTTGGCTTTTTATGAAATACAGAGGTATCTGTTTTTCTACAGGATAAATTAAGTACAAAAGATAACTGGAATAAAAACAGCTAGAAAGACCTTCTGCAGCAAGCCTTCAAATTATACAAAATATTTCCTATCTCACCATTTACTTCTCATTTTTTCAGTCAGTTCTTCTATTTATACCTTGTAATTGACATCTGTGATTAAAAAAGATCTGACTACCGTGTATGCCATTGTGTACTCTGTTACCATATGCCTTATGATTTAGATAAGGCAGCTCAGTTCTGAAGCTGCTATTTTAGCAACTCCAATTGATGTTTAAACAATAGGATGTTTTTAGACAGGAATAATATCCCATCATATTTCTGACTGTATGTTACTTGAATTCTCTAACCACAAAAGAATTGGTAATAATGATTTTCCTACCACTGATAATAGCACCATATATTTGCGAACAGCATTCCAGTTTACAAATATATGACTTGCCCAGTGTTGCTCACAGCTAAAATGTTGAGACTTGGATCTGATTCTTCAAAGGTTATAGCTCTTGCTCACTGTACTGGGCTGTTTTTGCTGGAATCAATCATTTCCTTCACAAATAAACTGTGCAGGTAAACTCTTTAAACTCGTATGAGCATGATGACAACTTATGACAAGGAAGATAATGAGCAAAGAGAATGAATGAAGATGTGCATGTTGATCTAAGCAGGGGTGAGATAACAGGAGGCAAGGAAAGGATAGAAACCAGGCAAGTTTTCAATAAAATAGGATCTTATCCTTTTGTTAATTATCTTGTCCCTTATCAAAAATAAAAAACCAGAGTATTAATATAGAGAGAAGTGGGCAGAATAAGAACAAGGTAGAGGGCCGGCCCCGTGGTTTAGCGGTTAAGTGCACGTGCTCTGCTACTGGCGGCCCAGGTTCGGATCCCTGGCGCGCACCAACGCACCACTTCTCAGGCCATGTTGAGGCCGCGTCCCACATACAGCAGCTAAAAGGATGTGCAACTACGACATACAACTATCTACTGGGGGTTTGGGGGGAAAAAAAGAAGGAGGATTGGCAATAGATGTTAGCTCAGGGCCGGTCTTCCTCAGCAAAAAGAGGAGGATTAGCATGGATGTTAGCTCAGGGCTGATCTTCCTCACAAAAAAAAAAAAAAAAAACAAGGTAGAAAATACTCAAGCACTGTCCTTAAAGGAGCAAGATAGAAGAAATGAGTTAGGCTAGAAGGCAACAGTCAAATACCCACTTCCCTTCATTCCTGCTTTCCTGTGGTGACCACCCAGAGAAGAGTAGTCCTGTACTTTGGAAGATAGCCATACAGATATCCCACAGTGTCCTGTGATTTTTTTTTTCTCTATGTCTATTCTTTCTTAAGGATTAGAAAAATATTTAAGGGAGTACTAACAGGCTTTGGATCTCTACTCAATGGAAGCAGATCTGTAGTTGAAAGTATCCCTTTTGGGCTGCCAAGCACATGTTGGTTTAACTGCAAAGACTGGGCTCTGGGATAAGAGACTCATAACTCTGACTAACAGCAACCCTTACTGTCACTTCATATAGGTCACAGAGGGCTCTGGCATACTGGACTGGCAACTGACTACTCGAATAAACAGCATTATGCCAAGATACAATTTTGGATTTGACACTAAGAATCTCCATATACCCAGGAATACCTTAGAAGTGGAATGGTTTTGGCTAGGGCTGGGACTTACTCTCTTAACTGTCAGTCTTCCTAAGATAGTTGGCTAGCTAGAAAGGAGTCACGTGCTGTTTCAGAGCGTGGAAACTCCCAGAGGGAAAACAGCAGAACTAGAAGTCAATGACAAGCCAAAATGCTGATCTCAAAATTTAGTTTCAATTAGTGATAAAAACACTTTACAAAGTATCTTTAATTTATAAATAGCTATTATTTACTACTTGGAAGGTGGGAAAATCACTCTCAAGTTTCGTGATACTTTGGTTTAATCCTTTACAATTTGAACTTTTATTTCTTGACAAAACCAAATTATACACCTATATAAGATGGGAATGGCCCTTTTAATTTTTTATACTGTTTATTTTTCTTTCAAAAATAGTGATGGGGAATCAGTGGCATTGCTAATATAGTATCCCAGACTTGGTATTTTTGACCCAAGAGCCATAAAGCCTTAGGATTATCACAGAGGAGAGTTATATCCCTAGTACAGTGAGGAGGGAAAACTGCCAGTTATACTCTTTCCTTTCTAGCTAGAATTTCATAAAGCATCCAAAAACAGGAAGAAGGGAGGAGAGTAGCAAGGAACAGAAAAGTCAGATGGCAACTGGTATAAGACAGAACCTAAAAAGCATTATGTTTTTGAAATAAAATAATTTCAGTGAGTCACCAGAAAGGTGGTGGAACTTTCTAGGACTTAATCATATATAGAAATGATTTTCCTCAAATAAATCTAGCTAACTGGCAACGATCTTGTGTAGTCTTTTTGTCTGGAGTGGGTCAGCCTGGTCAGAGACAGAGGCATTGATGAGTTACTTTGTTTCCCCTTTTCAATTTTATTGTGTGTGACTAGAAGGCCATTCGGGCACATACAGTCATAGGCCACATAATGACACTTCAGTCAGTGATGGGCCGCATACGACGGTGGTCCCATAAGATTAGTACCATATAGTCTAGGTGTGTAGCTATGCCATCTAGGTTTGTGTAACCACACTCTATGATGTTCACATGACGACAGTGCCTAGTGACACATTTCTCAGAATGTATCCCCATCGTCAAGCGACACATGACTGTACTTAATTTTTATTGGGGGGGGGATGAGGGAGCTAATCTGAAATTCTCTACCCACTGGCAAGTATTCTGTAAAGCAGGACAGCATCGTAGTTAACAATATGGGCTCTGGATTAAGATAAACCTGGGTTCAAATCGTGACTGAAACATACCAGCTATGTAATATTAAGCAGTTTATCTGCTCTTTTTCCTCATTTTCCTCAACTGTACAACAGGGCTAACAACAGTATCAACCTCAGAAGTTTTACCTTAAGGATTAAATGAGATAATTCAAGAAAAGGTATAGTATGGTAACTGCCTTAGAGTAAGTGCTCAACACAAATTAGCTATTTTAATGCTCAAGAAGTAAACCAGCTAAATTAGAAACTATTCCTTATCCTAATATTAAAGCCTCCATCTGGTTTAATTAGCAAGCAGTATATTTAACAAAAAAGTTATAAAAGGTCTTGTTAACATTTTGGCAAATAAAGGGGAAATGATAGCGCTCCATAGTAGAAGCTAATCAATAAATGATGTCAGGAGAACTTTCTATTCATTTGAAAATAATAAAGTTAGATATCTACCTCATGCCATATGCACAAACTGCCAGATAAAATACTTAAATATTTAAAATATTTAAAAAACAAATATTAGAAGAAAATATAAGCAAATATTTATATAATGTTGAGGATGAAAGCAACCTTTCTAAGCATGACACCAAGGCAGAAACCAAAATGAAGACCAATAGATTTGGCAACAAAAATAAAACTTTAAGGTGGCAAAAACAAACCATAAGCAACAAAATGTGAAAATACATTTGCAACGTATCTTCTCTTTAATATAAATGGTTAATTTTCTCAATATAAAGAATTTTTATAAATTAAGAAAAATGCCAACACTCAATAAAAATATAGGCTAAGAACAAGTGTCATTTACTAAAGAAGAAATAGAATGTCATTAAATATATGAAAAAATACTCTGCCTCAACATTAGTAATAATGCAAATTAAGATGATACTGATTTTTCACCTATCAGATTGGCTATTATTAAAAATGCTACTACTCATCACTGTTACATTGGGGTACTCATGCAGGGTTTTGTAGGAATGTAAACTAATTCAAGCTTTGTGGACAGAAGTTTAAATATAGGTATCAAAATTGAAAATGTATGCTCTTTGAATGAGAAATGCCACATCTGGTCATTTATCCCAAAAGAATAACTGTACCAGCAAAAAGGCTGATGTTTAGTGATGCAATGAGATCTTTAATTGCAAAAATAACCTAGATGTCCACCAATGAGGACTAGCGAAATAATATATCCATATGGCAAAATACTATGAGGACACCAAAAAGGATGATATAGATGTATTTCTTAGCACAAATAAGTCCATGATATATTAAATTTTAAAAAGAGATGCTACATATAGTGTGGTCCCATTTCAAGATAATTGTATAGGGCTAATAATATTACCTTCCTCATAAGGATGTTGTGAGGAGTAAATGAGTTTATCCACATAAAATCCTTGGAATGTGTGACATAGTCAATGCCTAAGAAATGTTATTATCACCATATCTCTTGTGTATACATACATAGAAAAAAAAATCTGGAAGGATATAAACTAAAATGTTAACTGATTATTCTGAATAGTGAGATTATTACATTTTTCTCAATAATTTTATGAAAAAATTTATGGTGATTTTATATTTATAAGAAAAATAAAGCTATTATAAATTATATATTATATATTATAAATTTAGAAGATGTTTCTTACTCATGTCACCTACTTTACCACATACTGAATTCCTGTCCCTATCTGTTTCACGAGTGATCCCTGGTCAAGATCTTTTTTGTACGTCTGAAATTCCCTTGACATACCATGTAACATGACTCTTCCTTTTACCTGGGAAACAAATGGGATTTTGATTTTTCTTTCACATTCTGTACACTAAGTTCCCTACCAATTTTTCTCAGAGAGACAAATTCTTTGCAAGGTTCCTATGAAAAGTCTTCATCTAAAAAATGTGCTACCTTGCTGATTAATGCTGATACCAAAATTCAGATGGACTTGTCGATTAAACCCCATCTCAAACAAAGTAATACAGTTATGAGCAGTGGCCACTATTGGCAATCATTTCTGCCCCCAGGGAGGTTAAATAAGGAGCCGGAAGCTCTACCCCCATCTGAAGCAATAACCTGATAATAGGTAAGAATAAGAATGTTCTAAGTCTGGTTCTCCCAAAATATAATTGGCAGCAACAATTTTGACTTTTCCAAGAATTTTCCTAACAAACAAAAACGTTTGTGAGACATGCTAAAATCAACATGGCAATATCTGAATATTGTTTTTATTAGAAATAACCCTTTTTGGCTGATCTTTGAAGCTTTTAGTAAGGGATTTGTGTACCCCCTTTATCATAAAAGATCTCAAATGAGGGCTCATGTGGAAAAGAAACAATTTTACAGTGAGGAGGAAATATGTACAGGAGATTCAGAACCCTAACAGACTGGTATTGATCTCTGGAACTCATATTTCTGGGAATTTGCTAGAGTCATGGGGGTCTGCATTAAAAGTGTAGGTTGTCACAGATGACATGATCTTGTATGTAGAACATCCAAGAGAAGCTACTAAAAAACTATCAGAGCTAATGAGTTCTGTAAGGTTGCAGGATATAAGATCAGCGTATAAAAATCAGTTGTATTTCTGTGCATTTGCAATGAATAATCCGAAAATGAGATTAAGGAAACAATTCCATTTACAATAGCATCAAGAATTATAAAACACTTAGGAAAAAGTTGAAGAAAAGAAGCATAAAATTTATACTCTGAAAACTACAAACATTGTTAAAAGAAATTAAGGAAAATTTAAATAAATCAAAAAATATTCCATGTTCATCGGTTGGAAGAATTAATCTTAAGATGGCAGTACTCCCCAGATTGATCTATAGATTTGATGCAAACCCTATCAGAATCTCAGCTGACTTCTTTATAGAAACTTACAAGCCAATTCTAAAATTCATACTGAATTGCAACACATCAGAATAGCCAAAGCAATCTTAAAAAAGAACAAAGTAGAAGAATTCACACACCCTAATTTTAAAATTTATTACAAAGCAATGTTAATTAATCAAGAGAGTGTGATACTGGCATAAGGATAGACAGATCAATGAAAGAGAACAAGAGTCCAGAAACAAAACCAAGTCAACTGATTCTCAACAAGGATGCCAAGACTATTCAATGGGGAAAGAGTAGTCTCTTCAACATGGTGCTGGGACAAGTGGATAGTGACGTTAAAAGAGTAAAGTTTATGCAGCATTATTCACTATAGCCAAGACATGGAAGCAACCCAACTGCCCCTCAACTGATGAGTGGATAAAGAAGATGTGGTAGATATACACCATGGAATACTACTCAGCCATAAAAAAAGACAAAATCGTCCCATGTGCAACAACATGGATGGACCTGGAGGATATTATGTTAAGTGAAATAAGCCAGAAATAGAAAGACAAACACTGCATGATTTCACTCAAATGTGGAAGATAAATCAACACACAGACAGACAGAACTGTTTGGTGGTTACCAGGGGCTAGGGGGGTGGGGGGTGGGCACAAGGGGTGGAGGGATGCATTTATATGGTGACTGACAAACAATAACGTACAACAAAAATTTCGCAATAAAAAAAAATAAAGTTTAACCTTTAGCTCACACCATATACAAAAATTAACTCGAATGGATCAAAGACTTATATGTGACAATAAAAACTATAAAACCGTTGGAAGAAAACATAGAGGTAAAGCTTCATGATCTCAAATTTGGCGATGGGTTTTTAGATACGACTCTAAAATCAGGAGCAACCAAAGAAAAAATAGATATACGACTTAAAATTAAAAACTTTTGTGCTTCAAGGGACACCATCAAGATAGTGAAAAGAATCCACAAAATGGGAGGAAATAATTGTAAATTATATATCTGATAAGGGACTTGTATCTAGAATAAAAAGACTCAATACAACTCAATAATAAAAAGACAACCCAATTAAAATATGGGCAAAGGGTCTGAACAGACATTTCTTTAAGGAAGATATGCAAATGGCCAATAAGCATCAGCAGGGAAATGCAAACCAAAACGAAATATCACTTAACACCCACAAGGATGGCTATAATGAAAAAGTCTGATGAACAGCAAGTATTGGTGAGGATGCAGAGAAACTGGAACTCTCATGTACTACTGGTGGAATGTACAATGGTACAGCGCTTTGGAAAATAGTCTGGCAGTTTCTCAGATGATTAAAGACAGAGTTACCATATGATCCAGCAATTCAACTAGGTTTATACCCAAGAGAAATGAAAATATATGTCCATACAAAAAATTGTACATGAATATTTATATAATTATACATAATAGCCAAAAGGTAGAAGCAACCCAAATGTCCATCAACTGATGAATGGATAAACAAAATGTGGTAATATCCATAAAATGGAATATTATTTGGCCATAAAAAGGAATGAAGTACTGATACATGCTACAATATGGTTGAGCATTGAAAGCATTCTGCTAAGTGAAAGAAGCCAGTTACAAAAACCATGTGTTTTATGATTCCATTCGTATGAAATGTCCAGAATAGCCAAATCCAGAGACATGAGAATAGTGGAGGTTGCTTAGGGCTGGGGTGGAGGGGGTAGGGGGAACAGGGGCTAAAGTGCACTGGGTCTCACTTTGAGGTGATGAAAACGTTTTAAAATTGGTGATGGTTGCACATATCTGAACACGTTAAAAAACACTGAATTATACATTTTAAATGGATGAATTGTATGGTATATGAATTATATCTCAATTTTTTAAAAAGTAGGTTTCTTCCTGTCTTCCTTTTGTTGTGATCATCAAGCGACTTCCCTCTTCCAGAGGCAAAGAGAAAAGTTTGGGAGCCCTTTTCTTCTCTGTGTACCCTCCACTATGCAGTCCCTCACTCCTGTTGCTTCGGGAAATCCTAGGTAGCAGGAATTGTAGTTGGGAATTCTGCACTCACTCTCTCTGCCCCAGTTTTGTAATTGGTGATGCCCAGGGAATTAAAAACACCTGTAGAGGTAGCCAGCATGCAGGTGGAACACTGAAGTGAGCCCAAAGATCAGACACACAGATTGCCATACATAAAAGAAAATTTTGTAGGCAGGAGGAACAGCAGGGGAGCGAGGACTCAGACTCCCATCACTAAAGAAGCTGTCAGGTGGCAATGGGATCACGCATACGTCACCAGTCTCCATTCTCATTTTTCAGGGTAAAGCTAATTATTTTAATAACCTTCCTTCCTTTCTCCCTCAATTCAAGAGAGGATGTCAGCAATTGTAAAACATTATACCCTGTCTATACTGTCTTACCTAGGTAAAAGGCTGTCTCAGGGCAGCTTCCTGAGATGTTCTTCGTGAATAGCAATCTACTATTACACAGCAGGGTGCAGAATGAATTGAGAGCCTTTAAAAAAAAGCTTTGGTCTTCAAGACCAAACCAGAGACCTTTGAGCCTGGCTATCAGAAAAATCAAAGTTCTGAAATCCTTTGAAACTATGATAGGAAATTAAAAAAAATAAATGCAAATGAATGTTCTTTCATGGTTTATAGAGAGGAATGATATAATTAAGTGGCAGATAATATTTGTTTTATTGATAAGAACATAACTTTTGAAAGCAGGACATTTTCTTTGTTAAGAGTTGTAAAATGATAAAAATACTTTAAAGCTTGTTCTAGGAAAATCTGCAATAAGCCAAAAGGAATTCTTAAATGATTTGTTTTAAAGGACATAATATGGTTATAAGCAATCCTCCAAATATTTCCAAGACACCTATGAAAAAGTCACCAAAGCCCTTCTAAAGTCCGTGATCCCAAAAGTTTCAAATCTCCTAATTTGCTACAATAAAATAGGGCAATTCTTCTTGCAACACCATATCATGGTGGATGCAAGTTTATTTGGTTGGCTACTCGTAACCTATTTATTTATTTGATAATATGTAGTTATTAGAAAGCTTAATGGTATAAAAATTAATGCTGGCATATTATAATGGAAAGCACATATGTTTAAAATACATGATTGGGTTATATGTCAGATATTTGGCTATGATATTCTGGGTAAGTTACTTTATATCTCTTCTTAATTTTTTATACACTATATGGGTAACACCACCTCATTCTCATGGCGTTGCTGTAAAGATTAAAAGATAATTTGTGTAAAGTGCCTGGAACAGCACCTGATACATAAAACATAATAAATGATAGTTCCTTTGATTAAATAGTATTTGTGATAAAAAGTTGAATATCTAGCCTCTGGTTGGGAATGTAGCCCCCTTATATACCATTGTTTCCATAAGAAAACAACATTTGATATATTTTTATTTATAATATCTTTTTCACACAGACAATTTATGGCCTAAAAAGATCAGACTAATTTAAATTTTTCATCAATTTAAATAAAACAAAAAATAAGATTAGAAAATATGTTTTGAACCTTAACAATTACTTTATTACCTTTATATCCTTTATTTTCTGCTTTTCAAAATTGTCAATAGTTTCCTCCAGGTGACGAGTTGTTCGGGTAGCATCCATTGTAGCTCTCTGCAATTCGGTTTCTGCCTACAAAAGTATTCCCCAACCAAAGACAGAAAAAAATCAAGTCAAAATCCATTCAACTGAGTCTATTTGTAAATGCTACCACTGCAGTATTGGCTTTTTGGCATAACAGTGTAAACTGTTCAATAATATATTTTACCACATGAAATAAAATGACCTATATAATTAGCACATGCAGAATAAAGAACTTTAAGTGACATGATTCATAATCTCAAACAAAACTTCTGTTTCTTTCTACGAAACCATTTTTTCCCTACATCACCCTTAGATGATTTCCTGTAAAACATTTTCTATATTTTTTACTGCTTTCATCTATTTCACTGCCTGTGCCACTTATCATGCTATCCTTTTTCTTCTCACTCTGTCTCCCCTTTAACCCTTTCTTCCCAAAAAAGAAAGGAGCTGTGACTTAAGTATTTTCAATTTTCTAGTTCTCCAAATGCATTAAATGTTTCTAATTCTGTAATATCCTAATCAGGTAGAGTAGAATATATACTATGAATATTTATTTCAGCATGGGGTTTCTATTTGTATATTCCTATAAGCTAATAATATCATACTGTTACTATTTAGTTAGTGCTTATTACAAAAAATACATATACCAGTAACTAATAAATTAGCTGGCAAGTCTAATGCTTTGCTTTATATATGCTAATGACAAGTACTCATACTATCTAGATCTGTGTTGTACAATCAATATGGTGGCCACTAATCACAGGTGGCCACCATATTTACATTTTAATTAATTAAAATTAAATGAAAATTTAAAAGCTGGTTCCTCAGTTACTCAAGTTGCATTTCAAGAGCTCAACAGCCGTATATAGCTAGTGGTTACAGTACTGTCAAGTGCAGAACATTTCCAGTCTAATCATTTATTTCTCTTAAAAAAGCATCTCATCTTTTAGGACAACAGCCACACAAAAATATTTAAAATTTTTTGTTAAACAGTAACATAGAGATTTTAAAAGACATAGTCCAATTTTCTGATTAAATTCTTTCTAATAATGTTTTGTTTCCTATGCTAGTATTGCATTTACTCAAAAGTATCACATATCATCATTTAATAGTTAATTCATGGGAAAAATCTGCATTTGTCATCAAAGTTTTGTGATGTAATATTCTGACATTTAGCCCTGGCTCTCTTTTTCAAGAAAATGTATAAATGGAAATAAGTAAAAGGGTTTACTATAAGGATCCATCTCTTGACACACCACTTTATTACCCACCTGTGACTGAAATTTTTCATAAAGGAAAAATACATTTCAAAGAGAACAATTGTTTTCAATAAATTCAAATCATATACTCTTATAGAATTATATACTCTTGCAATTAGACTATACATTAATTACATCTTTATATTGATTATATACTCCTACAATTAGGTTAATTCAAATACACAATTTCAAGATACTAAGCATTTAAAAAGATATTCATTTAATACCTGTGTGTGTATGTGTGTATATTTGCCATATAGGGTGTAAAGTTTTTTAAAACCATACAAACTTTTAACTTTTAATCATAACCAGTAATCAAAAACAATTCTCTATACTGCTACTGGGCTTGGGATTTTTAAAAAATATAACTTCATCACAGGAAATTCAAAGTAAAATAGAGCTCCTTTGAAGATTTGTTAGTATGAAAAAATTTCTATTTGATGCATGTTAACCTTTTACTAATGACAATATTCAAGCAGACTCATTTCCTAATACTATCACATGTGACTGATGCAATTCTTTACTTATTACTTCTTCTTTTTGACTTATGTCTTTCCTCTCCCCATTTACTGACAGTTCCTTTTAAAATGTGGAAGGGTAAGCAGCATTGGCTACGCTAGGCAAGCGTGGGGAAACAGCAGCCACAGCGGGGACGCGTGTGTCTTCACCTCCTACCATCCTCCAGCACCTGCTGTCCATTTCTTCAAGTCTCAAACCCTTGTACTTCAGCATAGCAACTTGCCCAAAGTTACACAGCTATTTTTAGCAAAGAGGATACAGATTTCTATTTCTTCCTTTTGTTGAAAATTCTTCAAAATCCTATAATGTCTCGATTTGAATAGGAAATGCTTTTGATTAGAATACTAAGATACAACTCTGAATTATCAGTATATTTAATGAAATTAGTCACAAGTGCAAAATGGCTTATAAAAGAGTGAGCCCGATTAGTGTTTTTCAAAATATGTTACAGGAAGCTTATTCAGAAGCCACCGGGGGCCTTGAGGGGTGAGCAGGCAAATCCCTGGGATTTTTCTTTACCCCATCTTGTGCTAGAGCTATTCCATTTTATTTTACACATTGAACTTAATGTGCTTCTTTTGAATAGTCAGATGAGTTTTAAGACTCTATCCTGGTAAATATTCTATGATGCTATGACTGAATACTTTTATATTTATATTGAATACATTTATACGTAGATTGTCTTTTATTTTCTAGTCTCAGGTCATTAAAATCCACTGGAGTCATAGATCTTTCCCAGTGAGCATCACAATTCACCCATAGCAAGAATCTACTCAGTTGCTGCATTTATTTCCCCCAACATGAACCCACAGACTGGCTTCATCTATAGTGTAAGACCCCTCCTCCACAGCAGTGTGCACAGCAGAGCATCTAAGTCAGAAACATCTTTGTATTAGGACCTTTTTTCTTTTTTTGGTGAGGAAGATCAGCCCTGAGCTAACATCTGCTAATCCTCCTCTTTTTGCTGAGGAAGACTGGCCCTGAGCTAACATCTGTGCCTGTCTTCCTCCACTTTATATGGGACGCCACCACAGCATGGCTTGCCAAGCAGTGCATCAGTGCGTGCCCAGGATCTGAACCTGCGAACGCCGGGCCGCCGCAGTGGAGTGCGTGCACTTAACCGATTGCGCCACCGGGCAGGCCCCATCTTTGTCTTAGGAATGGATTCATTTCTGTGTTGAGTGTCCTTACTAATAAGACCCGATTCAATCTTGCCAACCACTCAGGATTCCAAATGTGACATTTTTCCTGCCTTTATATACTCTCCTCCAAACAAAACAAGACAAGAAAATTTTGACCTCTGGCTTAATTCTTAAAAACTGCTGGCATTCCCTCACCTCTGTGTTAGTCCCTAGTTGTCGGTCATAAATTTTCCAGCAGTCTCTGGTTTGTCTGAACCCAGACTCTATAATCTCCAATTTATAGATCTTAAGCCTCAACTACTGTCTAGATGTTCCTGTTCCAGCCTCCAATGGGCAGTCCCAGCCCTGTGGCTGCCCATTTTTGTTTATTACAAGGTTGGGCATATGTACCTTTGGTCCAAAGGAAGGAGGACCAGGCAATTGGTGCAGCCCCAAATCACTGCTCAAGGGATTCCCCTCAGGAATGGAGGTGTTCTGGAACCTCAAATGCCCCCAAAGAGTCACTCCTCATGTGGTTTCTGGCTGATCTGGGCAGTAAAAACCTTAAGGAAGTAGGAAGGAGACATAAGAAGGAATGGGAGAAAGAAGCAGCTGGATGAGTTAGTACCTGGTATACAAGTGCACCTATCCCACTTGCTGGCAATTAGCCAGGCACTATTTTCTCTTCTTTCGTCATGAACAAGGCACATTCTAGTTTAAGAAACAGTCATTCTTAACAGAAGAATCTTGTTACAGTAGACACTCTTATCTGGATCCTTTGTGTCCAGCTGTGGACCTCAATTATACTCTTGAATCTCCTGAGGGTCTTTGGCTGGAAGTCATATTGTGGTTTCACATGGTTGTTTTTTTTTTAAAGATGAAGGGAATTATACTGGGGAAAAAATTATTTTTCCTTCCTTTTCTCAAAAGCAGGGCAGAGAGAGCATTGATATATTAGAATTAATAACAGATCTTTAAGTTAATTTTATAATTAATAATTAGTCATCATCATGTGAAAAAAATCTCAAAATCTGAATTTACTCTTTATAAAAACATTTACATTTATCAGTGTTTTATTTTTTGTATATCGATTGTGGAAAACAATATAAAGAGATTGAATTAGGTGGTGTATACTCTTTAAAATTAGCTCATTTCTACAGCAAGAATTCATAAATGCATTTATTTCTTTTCAATCTTTCTATGCAAATTCTCTGCACATTTAAAAGTAGAAATGCATAATTTCCATATATATATTTCATACTGCACACCTTACAAAACATGTTTTTTAAGACCAAAATTCAAAGGATACAATAACATGTCGATCAGATGGGTTTCGCTGACGTGTTCTTTCTAACTGAGTTAACTGTTTAGCTTCTCGATTCCTTGCTGTTAATGTTGCTTTGAGGTCATCCTGCAAATAGGCATTCTTTGTTAATAAAAATCTATGATTTAAGAAATAAAATACACACACTTTGTTTTAAGAATGAGAGAACACTCCTTGTTTGGTTCAGGCATCATTACCACAGGAATTATTACTGCTGCATAATTAGCGTGGGAGAGTGCACACGTATGGGTTTCTTTAATATCCTCTCAAAATAACGAAATAGACAAGATAATTTCAATGCAAAACTATAACCATATATATATACACACACAAAATATTTTGATTGTGGTGGTAGTTACATGTGTATACACATTTGTCAAAACAATGAACAATTAAAATGAGATTTTATTGCATATAAATTATACCTCAATAAAGTTGATTTAAAAAATAGAACTTTGGGGATGTAATGTACAGCATGGTGATTATAGTTAATAATACTGTATTGCATATTTGAAAGTTGCTAAGAGAACAGATCTGTAAAGTCCTCATCACAAGAAAAAAAAATTTTTGTAACTATGTATGGTGATAGATGTTAACTAGACTCATTGTGGTGATCATTTCACAATATATACAAATAATCAAATCATTATGCCGTACACTTGAAACTAATATAATGTTATATGTCAATTATACCTCAATTAAAAAAATAGAACTTTGTCACACTTATTTTTAGTCATGTTATTGCCTGCTTTCAAACAAAAATACAAACATTCATTTAGTAAAATAATTTGTCCATATAGTCTCCATAACTATAAATATTAAATATTTTAATGTTTCCATAATAAAATAATGCTTTATGTTGCTACACTAGTTTACTTAGTAAGCTCAATAAAAATATTTCATTATTCTCAAAGTTCTAAGAAATGACGCTTCAGAGTGTATAAAAAGAATGAATAAACATTAATTTGTACTTTTTATTAAAAGGACAATTATTGGAAACCTCATACTCTTTGCCATAATACCTAATAATAGGAGAAAGAAATGAATTTACTCACTCGTTTCATTTTTACAATGGTTCCATATGCTTTCAAAGGTTCAACTACTTTGGCTTCAAGTCTTTCAACCTATTGAAAATTATTATAAAATATAACTGAAAAGAAACACATACATATCAAAATTTAAATTCTGAAATAAAACCTGTGCTATTTAACCTGAACATAATTACTACACAGATTAATGTTTTAAATATTTTAGATTAAAATGTCACTGTTATCTTTATAAATAAAAGAATAATCATGAGAAATTAATAAGACTCAGAATATAAACTCAAACACATTAAAAACTGTAAGCTGTACAGTAACAACAAAAGCAGAAAAGCAGCCGGTGTGCAATAGGACAAGAAAATGTCTCAGGTTTCTGAGGGGCTCATCTTTGCCCCACCATCATCTCTGTATTACTTTTCTATTTTAAAGTAGTAGTTTTGGGGTAAGTTTTAAAACATCTCAAATTTTAATACAGCTACCACTTTCGGTGTGTTTAGCACACTGTTGGATACTTTACATAATCTCTGAAATGTAATAGCACAACTTTCCAAATAAAAAAAATCAAAGCTGAAAGATATAGCATAATGGAAACACTTAAAGTAACATAATCCTCAAAGGCAAAAAAGCTTCGAGACCACTGTAGTAAATGCAATTTTTTTCTGGGAAGCTACTTGTAAATCATCAAAGCTTAGAGAACAAGATAAACGGCTCAGGGTTGCTGAGCTGTCAAACTGTATGGTTTCTCTCTCTTTCATTCAGAATTAAACAGTTTTCCTTAAACATTACAATTTTTATGACATTTTGAGTAATTCTTCTTTTACTAATAGCACTACTGAAAGGCATGGAGGAAATGGATTTTTTTAAAGGCAAGTATATAAATATAGCACATGAAAAATAACTCTTGGACATTAAAATTTTCTTTTTCAGGATAGGTAATACAAGGTGACACATATTTAACTGTTTAAAATGAACATATATGACTTTTGTAGCAGGCAAAAGGCTTTTTGTGATGACAAATGTTTACATAATCAGTGAATACATTTCATATTGATTTTTCTTTTGTTTCTGTCAACAAAATGTATATGAATGTTTCATCTTAAAAGATTTTAGGAAAATGAAGAAAACTGCTCATTGAGTATTTAAATATTAGGAATCCTAAAATCAAAACCATGACTATTCAGGATAGTTTAGTCTATGCCATTTTTAATAATCCACACACTGACTATGCAGTGTAAGGATCATCCACGTCTTTTTTCTGTTCTCCTTTTGGTCGCCCACCTTTTGCTCATTGTTCATTAGCACCTCCACCATTTGGTAAGCAAGGGAAATAAAAAGAACAAGTGTACATCAATTCACTCTACTATTTGATAAATAGCATAAAAGTTTCCTAGAAAGGGACATTGAAATTATTGGCTAACATGGGATTTTAGGATTATCTGTGAGTATAAACTATTTTTGAAACAGTAAATCCCTGGTTATGTATAAATGAGAGTTACTTGTTTATTACAGAAAAAACATCATATGACAACATGAACTCAACATTTTCCCAAAAAGTACCGCTAAATATAATTACTACTCAAATTTCTGTATGAATAGCTAATATAGGTTGAAAGACCATTATCCTCATTTTGTTTTTGTGGGGTTTTTAAATTGAAATTTCTGTTTTAGGCTTTAAAAAAGGATCAAAAGCACTGATGAGAAAAGTACAAAAAAAGTAATGCAGCTCTAACTGGGCAACTTCTGACAAGTTAACGTGTATCTTGAAACCCAAAATAAATATAAATGAAAGTGTTTGTAAGGTATTAAAGGAAAAAATGAGTTTTTAGAAAGAAAACAAGTACACCACCACCTTCTTCCCTCCCCCCCAAAGCAGAAAAAACTCCCAAGTTTCACTGCTGGTTTGCACCCACGATATAAATCAGTTCCTTTTTTTTTTTGGTCGATGGACATTGGTCAACTTTACAGAGCACTGAAGCAGCAAACATCTCTTGTCCATTTATTACTTATTCACTCACATTACCATTCCCCACATCTTCCATCTCCAGACATACTTTAAAATATACTTACATGCATACAAGACACAAGTCATGCTCCTTTTCTTCCCCATGGGTATACTATGTTTACTACTCCTCTAAATAGCCACCCCTTGGCCAAAAGTTGGCAAATGAAATGGGGAAATTCAGGACTTCAAGACACCGTAAAGTTTAATTTGCAAACGGTAAAATCACGGGAAGCTTCCCTTTAATAGACTCACACAATGTTACAGACACGAAAATGTACGTTTATCATCAAGCGTGTTCGCCGCCGCACTTAGGTAGATTACGAGTGAGTCTTCCGGTTTCCTTCATCCACTACTTCAGGGCTCATTCACCAAAATCACGCTGTGACCTCACTCCATACCTCTGCTTGTCGATAATCCTGAAGTTTGGCAAACTCATCAGCAAAGTTTTTCAGGCCCTGCTTTAAGTGTGGGGTCTCTGTAGAGGCATACATGTTGATTTCATTCACCAGGAGGTCTGCTTTGTCTCGCAGTCTGGCAGTTTTCCGCACATAAGCAGCAAAGATTTGGCACAGCTCCCCAAAATGCTTCTCTACATTTGTGACAGCATCTTGCAGTTGTCTGGTTTGAGCGTCCCTAGAGAAAAAGGTGACACAAAAGGCAAATCATTCTCATTAGAGATGAGATGACTTCATCTTCACGTTAATTTGATATGCAAACATTCCCGGGGCATTTTGCAGCTTCTAAGGCGCAAACCATCAACACTCCCACCACCTCCCGAGGCGGATTCCCCTCCTCTACGTCCCCATTCGGGGCCTGGGCTCAATATCCCGACCGTGGAGGCGCACCAAGAGGCCCGGCTCCGGCCGGCCGCGCCGCTGCGAGGTGGCGCTGCTAGGGCTGCTCGGCGCTGCGCGGCCCGGGC